ATCCTCCGCAGGCAGCAGCATCCACACAGAATCCAAGACCCTCTGCAGGTGCCAGCATCCGCACAGACACCATCATCATCCACGTAACCACGCCTAGCTGGTTACCGCRCTCAAACCCTTCAGACTGAGCTKGATGACTGATCAACTGTTATAACCRACTCATTCCATATCATTGATCATCTCTGTGTGTTCCTCCCATCATTGACTGGTCCAGCCGCCATTTGGACGCGCCTTTCACCACATCATCATGCTCATGCTCATGCTCGGTCCCGGCAGTTGGTTGAGAACATGACTTTTTTTTAAGTTTTCTCTCCCAGGCAAAGTCGAGAGTTGAAAACGGAACATTCCGAAGACTTTGGATATTATACGGTGCTACCGGACCAAAATGGCTGGCGGCACCACGCAGACAAAAAACAACGTCGCGCCGGTTCGGCAAAAGCTCGGCGCACACGGGGAACTGCGTCGGCAAAACGTGGTCAGAGGTGCTGGTTGTTTAAAAATGAAAATCCTTAGAGATTCTCATGATTATCGGGGGGACTCAGCAGAGTCAGCACCCAAAAGACTGAAGGACCATGACTGATACTTCAAATCCCTTAAGCACCCAAACACTCTGAAGCAACGGACGGCGGATGACTGGTCAACGCTTGAGCCATTTCAACACACGTCACAACAATACACCCAAACTCTGCACTTTATACCCGAACTTTTGCATCGCCTAGGAAACAAAACGCTTTGACGACTCGTGTGGAATTGTTGGAAAATCCATGTCAGTGGAGGGCCCTTGGTGCCTTCACACTTGAGCTCCGGAACATCTCAGTCCACTGTCCCCTCGCCCCATTTCTGATCATGGCTTTCTGCGCATCATGCACGGCTCGGAAACAACATGGGCTCCATCCAATGCAGCCTGAGCAGATAGGAGTTTAATAAAACGACTGTACCTGGGAGAAGCAATGCTCCACCGAAGTGATTCTGAGTTTTACGCAGGATGTGAGCCTGGTGGGTCCCACAACCTGCTTAGTTGCTGTACCAATTGTAGGTCCCACAGTTGAGTGAGTGGTGGATTCAGAGACTGACAATTTATCCATATTACCGATCTGCAAACGAAGATGGAGACATTTCATTCATCACCATAGAAAATATCTGCAAACATCGATAGCACACCATAGACGAGTGAACCGCAACCCCGAGCATTAACTCAACGTAGAGAAGAAACAATGGCGCCGATAAATCCTTCTCCGTGGCATAGCTTTTTTTATGGGTAAAGATGGATGAATCATGGATGGTTTAGCCTATCTGAGCATCAGACGTGAAACCTTGGAGTATGTTCTTCCGTGCGAGAACCTCATCGTACTCGTTGGCTGGCATATGAACTGCCAAAAGTCGGTCCACCCTTTGATACTCCTCTTGGATATACTGCAAACCATATTCTAAAGATTTCCTCATGATGTCTGTGTAAATCATTGCACACTTCCGCACGTCGTCTTTCTCTTTCACGGAGGCCGCTTGGCCTTCCATCTTCTCAAACACTCGTATTCTTTTCGGGTCACTGGGAGCCTCATAAAATTCTCGGGCCAGCAAGTCAAACTGGTACACTCGGCCAAAGTTCCTCAGCCTGAGTTGACCTTCCAGGAAGGAGAGGAACGACGCCAACGAACTCTCACCGTCGTACTCCTTCGGATGCTTCCCCCCTCTAGGCAAGAATTTGATGGTGGGGAACACACGGATGCGTTGCAACGTGCCACGCGTTTTGTACATATCCGCATCGAGCTTGGCAATTATAACGTGCAACCGGAAGGAAGGATCTTTCAACACATGGCGGGCGAGAGCTGAGTAAGTTGGTTCAAGCTCCTTACACATCTTGCACGTCGTCGAGTAGAAATTAACCAGCAAAGCCTTGTCGCCGCGTCGCAGCCCCGCAAAGCTGTCGGGGTTGAGATTCAAAACCGGGTTGATATGGTTCAAGTCCCTCACTTTCACGTCCTTCCCCAGAGCGTGTGCATTCTCCACATACTCTAGCTTTCTAAGGTGCCTCCATTGTTGAACACGCTTGCCGTCGTGCCACAGGTCCTTCACATGCGCGTCCCTCCCCTGTACATGTCCATTCTCCTCCACAAACTGTAGCCTCCTAAGGTGCCCCCGTCGTCGAGAAGCCGCATTTCCGCATTGCAGCCCCCGAAAGCTCTCAGGATTGAGAGTCAAAACCAGGTCGCCCCGCCGATTGGGGTCCCGCACACGCACATCCCTCCCACCTATATGCTCTTTGCCCACGCACTCTAGCTTCCTGAGGTGCCTCCATCGTTCGGAGCCAGCCCCTTTTCCTCCGTGCACCGCATCGATCTTCTCGTCAGTTGGCAACCCCGCAAAAGAGCGACCTGTCAGAATGTCCCCCGGCCTCCCGTAAGCCTTGTGATAATGCTGTAATAGTCTTTGATCCCAATGTCCCAGTCCCCCAGACTCTGCTGAAACTCATGGTGTTCGCCACTGTGCAATCATAACCGCCGCCAACCAAATTAGCAAGCGCTTCAACTTCCAGGGACTAGAGTAGCAGCTCACCCTTAACGACCGCGCTGCCATGCTGTCACAACCACAGTGGGAACCAGCGCACACAAACTCCACATCGGTCATACTAGGTGCATCCATGTCGGTGAGTGCGTGCGTGCGCGCACATGTGTTTGTCTGTGTTGAGTATTCATGTAACAAGTCCACAAAAGAAGGGTGAGTCAGACTGGCAGATAGTTTTGTCAGATGTTCTCTGACGGTGTATTTCAAACAATCAACAGAACGCCCCCTTCGCACCTGTGTTTTACACAATCACCACCAACCCCTTTTATGCCTGGTGTAATGACCCGCCAAAACACAGACTCAGAACACTGTTGATTTCTGGGATTTGACGCTGGGATTTATGTCTTGCTGAGATTCCCACATTCTGCCGTCATTTCTGTGTGTGTGTGTGCCTGCTGGTCTGCGTGCCTGTCTGAGTGCTTGTTGGCCTGAGTGTGTGTGTGACCTGCAAGGGTACTCGTCCGTTTGGAGGCCCCGCAGGGCCAGTACTTACCTGTGGCCGTGACTTTGAGGGTTGCGGCAGGAAAAACACTCAAGTAGCGGGGGTAGGCCTGCGACACTTAGAGCAGTGGGAAAAACACTCAAGTAGCAGGTAGGCCGGTACCACTCAAGTAGTGGTAGAAGTGTTGGGTACTCGAGGCCAAGCAGAAGAAGACAAAAAGTTGGCATTTTTACAGGCCCAGTACCAGTAGGATAGAGGTAGGCCGGTACCAGTCCAAGTAGCCTGAGTCTAGGGCCTGTACGGACGATATCAGAGCCTGCAATGATGTTTCCCTCCGAAAGGGAGCAGGTAACGGTTGCTGGGAGGCCGCGCGGCCTAGGAAGTCACCGCCCAAGAGGCAAGTAGGTCGCTAGATCGTCTGGAGGAGCAAGTAGCTCCTCCTCATTTGCGATGTGCAAGGATTGGCGACATACTGCTTGAGCGGGCAGCCAGGACTCGCAGCGCTGCCTCCAGCAGCTGGCGCTCAGCCTGACTATGGCGAGCAGCTGAAAAAGAATAAGATTGGCGAGGTCAAGGAGGAGGAGGAAGGTGGAGAGAGAAGGGGGCTTTCTCA